GAAGGTTGGCCAGGAGCTGTCCCAGGAACCCTGAAGAAGTGAAGCTGGAGACTCACAGTGGCAGATGGGAGACCAGCCCCCAAAGAAGGCTTTGTCCAGGTGCTTGGCTTCCTAATGCAGCCTGGGTCCAGGCACTGACACTCTTGGCCATAGTTTTCCCTTGTGCAACAGGGGAAGGATTATCTTTCTTTCACTTCCAACCTCAGTTTGAGGAACTGGGAAACAACTAGAGAGTGAAACTGAAGTCCAAGAGGAGCACGCTTTCCCATTTATGCCAAGGAGATGCCACTTGTTGTGTAAACTCATTGTCACAAGGACACAAGCATCCTGGCTGCTAGCCCCCAGTGTGTTCCTCCTTAAGCCTCCCTGTGCTCTAGGTAACAGAGTCTCCTGGCCCCTCCTTCAGCCTGGGAGCAAGCACCGTTGGAAGCTAATTCTTGGGATTGCAGAACTAGCTTCGTTTCCAGGCAGTGTGCAGGGGAGACTCCCAAAAGAGGGCCAGAGCCTTGAGTAGAGAGAGAAAGAAGAAGAGAGATACAGTCCAGACCTCCAGACTTTGGCAGCTGGTCTGTCGGGAAGCAGAGGAGAGAGGCATGGGGATGGAAGGCCCAGGGCAGTGGCCTTCGCTGGGATGGGGCGGGCCAGTTACATGCAAGCCTGCCTTTCCCACCTGCATCGTTTTACTATTGCAGTGTAGCAAACCAGCCTAAGCCTTAATGGCTTAGAAGAATCTATTATTTTTCACATTTCTTTGTGTTCACTGGGCAGTTCCTCTTCTGGTTTCCCCTGGGCCCACTCATGTAGCTGGGTTCAGTTGGGTCCAAGATGACCTCACTCATGTGTCAGGCTCACATGGTGGCTGGCTGTCGGCTGAGGTGCCTCTGTTGTGCTGCGCAGCGCCTCTCGTGCTCTAAAAGACTGGACTGGCATTTTTATGTGACAGTCTCAGGGCAGCATTCCAAGTGTGTGAAGGTAAAAACTGCAGGGCTTTTTGAGGTTTCAAGTTTTGGAACCCAGGCAACTTATTTTTCACCATATTCTATTGGTCAAAGCAAATCACAAGGTCAACCTAGATTCAAGAGGCAGAAGAATAGACTCTACCTTGATAACATGAGCTACAAAGACGTTATGGCCTTATTTAGTTTACTCTTTTCCCCTCCCACCCCAATGTTTAGAATCCAAGAACAGAGGTAAACTGCTTTTAAAAGTTTGCCAAGTAATTATTCTGAATTATCAGCCGCTTGTTGATACTAGTAATCATTGAGCTAAGACTGAGTACTGTGTGTTAGCCACTGAGCTCAACACTTGATGTGTATTGTCTGTATTCCTTCCAACAGCCCTCTGAGGCATGTGTTCCTTTCAACCTCCGTTTTACAGATAAGGAAATTGTGGCTTAAGGAGTTATTTGCTCAAAATCATGTAACTTGTTAGTAGTTATGCTGGAACTTAAACCCTATGGCCATGGTGTTCTTATCCTCTATTGAGAACAACTGAAAAGCTTACTGATGATTATTTATAGTCATAATGAATTACAGTGTATGACATCATTTTACATCCATAGTCTCATGTGCCCATTATGACAAACTTGTGATGTAGTTCGAATAATTTTGAGGAATTGAAACTGGCAGCTTAAAGGGAGTGCATGGCTTTGCCCATGGTTGTGTCCTTAATAAGAGGTAGAATCAGAAACATATGGTGAGATGCAATGAGTTTTGGGAGCATTAGAGCCCCATGAGGGCAGGGCTTTATCTGTGACCTTGGAGTGAGTGCACGCTGCCCTCTCTGTGATGAACCCAGGGGTGCCTGGGCTCTAGGGCAGCATGGGAAGGCCTCCTTTTCTCCCCGAGTTGCTGGAGCACATTGGGCCTGGCCTGTGTCGGGGAACTGGGCGAGGAGCACTTGTAGTTCTGGGCTCCAGATCAGCAAAGCTCTGAAGACCAGGAGCTTTAAAGGAAAGGACCAGTTTCTTCTTTATTTTATCCTTCACCAGAGGAGAAAAACTAAACCTCAGTTAAAGCAGACTCGGTAGTGAGAGAATTTCTTAACTTGCGGGGACTTCTCCATGTTCGAACTACTGAGGGAAGTTATAGACTCATCCTTCCTGAAAACATGGAAAGCATGCTGGAATCTAATGGACCAGAGGTCCTCACTGTTTTTCTGCCTGCCTGTTGGAGATGTGTGCCCCGCCCTCCCGGCCCCGGTATGGGGCAGTGGCTTCATGGCTGGTGAATTCTCACCTTGAGAGTTGAGGAGGCACATCCCTAGGGGAGCATATATCAGAGTGTCTGGAGAGATGAGGCACATGTATTTTGAAAAGGTTTCCTAAGAGATTCTGAGTCTCGTTAGGTACCGGCCATCTCTGATTAGAATTCAAGTTGCATGAGGATGAGACTTTTTGTCTCTAGTTTATTCTTTTATCTAGCACCTAGAGCAGGGCCTGGCACATCGCAGGTGCTCATTAAGTATTTATTGAGTTAATAAACACGTGACAAGGTTGTCCTCAATCAGAGGCGTCTTCTCCTGCCTCCAATTGAGAATAACTGAAACACAGAGTCCTTTGTGCAGCCCAGACGCTTGTTGGCTTACAAGGCGGGACTGATGACCTTTTGCATCCATGGTTCTGTGAAATAAACGAGGGACCTTTCTCCACTGTGAGTAGGTCAGGCTCTCCCCAGGCTCAGGCTTGGCACGTTGCCCTACCACTACCTACCCTAGGGAGAATGGAGGCTTACTCTTTTCACACCTCCTCGCTGAGCAGTCTCTGGTCATTGGCTTGGCTGGGCACCGAATTTCTCTCATCTATGCCCATGTACACGTGGGATGGCTCTTGTTTGACTTGCCCTTTTAAAAACAACTTAAGCATGTTGAGGTTTCCTGTTGATCGGGGGCAGCCAGAGGCTATGACCCAACAGGGAATTGTTGGCCAATCCCTGACTCACCAGAGCTGCAGTTTTCTGTGTGTGATCAAGCGGTGACAGCAGCCTGGCTCAGGGGCAGCTGGCTGCTTTCCATGGGTGGCATGGCGCTCTGGAGCCTGCGAGGCTGGACCGCCTCTCTTTGAGGGCCATGGCATTAGGGTCAGGTAGACCTTGGTAGCATGCAGTGTTGGCAAAGCCCTCCTGTCTTTGAACTGAAACGGTTTGGGAAGAATTCTGAAAGTTGACAGTGATCTTCCTAGTAGATAACGAGAAAAGTGTACTGAGGAGGAAGTATGCTCGTGGTTCTCTTCAGTAAGCTCACCTTTCCCTCTCCCTGTCTTTCTTTCTTTGTCATTCACTTCCAGACAGTGGGTATGTGTCCCTCCACCTGGGAGAAATCGTAGTCTAGTAGGGAAGACGAAGAGGGAAGATGATACATAGAAATGTTCCTTTTGAGACAGGACTGTGCCCAGTGCTGTGGGGTTTCTGCTGAGCTGTGTCTGAGGCCTGGGCAGTTCACAAAGATGGCAGAGGCCACTGCTTCATCTTTAGAGCAGCAACATAGTGTGGTGTCAATTCCTGTCCTGCCTTCACCACGTACCAGCTGAGGACCTTGGATGAGATATTTAACCTTTGTATGCCTCAGTGTCTTTCATTTGTAAAATGAGGATAATAATAAATGATAATCTGACAGTTTTGTGAAGATTAAATGAGTAAACATATGTAAAAACATTTAGTTAGAACTGTTCCTCTTATTTGCTAAGATCTGTGTGTGGATTTGGATCTAGGAAGTGGCTGATGCTTGTTTGATGTGATGCACTGCTGGAGGCTGGAGCGGCTAAGGAATAGGTCTTCACTCCCCACTAGCCTCTTTATTGGGAGAGTGGAAAGCACTCTTTCTTTTTCTTTTTCTCCCCAGGGAAAGGTAATTAGGTTTATTTATTCATTTGTTTAGAGGAGGTCCTGGGGCTTGAACCCAGGACCTGGTGCATGCTAAGCATGCATTCTACCACTTGAGCTATATCCTCCCCCTGGAAAGGACTCTTTCTTGAGGGGCCCTCCTGATCCTTTTGAGACCCTCAGGGATCTGAATCTGATCAAGACCCAAGCTCAGGTGCAGTGTCTTCCGTCTGGTAGCAGAAGCCTCCGGGTAGATGGGGCTAATCAAAAAGACAGATCGAAGGGCTCGAGTGCATATCTGGGGCTACTGAGGAAGTGGCTTGCTGGAGATGCTTTGTAGCAGTGCATAAGAATTGATCATTAGCATTTCTTCCCAACTCCACATCCAGTGAGGTCCCATAAGTAGCTTGAAATCAGCCGCAGTAGGAATATTTATACTGTGGAAATTGGAAAATGCTACAGATCTATGCTTTCTTCCCCAAAGAGTCAATTATTAGACATCTAGCAGCACACCACTGGTCTTACTGTTCTCTAGTTGGTAGATGTAGACTCTTGGGATGCTCTGACCTGTCACAGAATTGGCTTCTGGTACAAACGGTACTCAGAATCTCTGGGCATGAATTGGGCAGGGAGGCCCACTGGGTTAGCCTGCTATCAGTAAGGAGCTTTTTTTTTTTTTTTTAAGTCATGCATATTGTATGTTGACACACTGAGAAGGGTGAGGGGCATTTTCAATAATATATTTTAGAAAACTGTTCATTTTTTGGCTAATGTTTATCTGAGTATAAGATCTAGAAAACAAAACAAGGAAGCATTGAGCACTGAATATTTTCACGCCCAGTATCCAGAAGTCAGGCCTTTTTTTTTCCCCCTCCTGTTCATGGTTATTAAGAGAGCATTGTCCTTTCTGACGATGCCAGTCCTGTGATGAGGCACTTGAAGAGGTTGAAGCTTAGGGAGTATGAAATAGAGCTGGAAGGAAGCATGCTGCTGTTCCGTTGGAAGCAATAGGGAGTGTAGGCCCATAGAACACTTATTCCTTGAGGACAGCTCTGAAAGGTACATGACTTGCATGCAGTACTTTTAGGAGAGGGATGCTGAGCTCTCTAAGAATTAAACACAGTGTTGTCAGGCCACTCACTGCCATTTTCTCTTCTCTTGTCTTCTTTTTTTTTCTCCTAGGTCTCAGTCAGTCTCTCCCCCTCCAGTTCTCTCCCCACCAAGGAGTCCCATCTACCCGCTCAGTGATAGTGAAACGTCAGCTTGCAGGTACCCAAGCCGCACCAGCTCCCGGCTGCTCCTCAAGGACTGGCACCCCTGTGATCCTTCACCCCACAATCCTCAAGCCCCCTCCCCAGACACTTCACCACCCATCTGTACCCTCAAGGCCACCAGCTTTGGTTATTTGGACGGAAGCCCTTCAGTGTGCAAGAGAGAGGACCAGAAGGAGAATGTCCAGGGGGCAGCCCAGGATGTAGGGGGAGTAGCTGCTTGCCCCCCCCTCGCCCAGAGCACTCCGTCCCTGGGGCCAGCAGTGGGCCCGCGGAGTGTCTTTCTGAGCCGCACTGGCCCCCGCGCCCACAGCCTGGGCATCCGGGAGAAGATTTCAGCATGGGAGGGTCGCCGAGAGGCTTCGCCCAGGATGAGCATGTGTGGAGAGAAACGGGACGGCTCTGGGGGCGAGTGGGCAGCCAGTGAGGGCTGCCCCAGCGTGGGCTGTCCCAGTGTGGTGCCGTCCCCCTGCAGCTCTGAGAAGACCTTCGACTTCAAGGGCCTCCGGAGGATGAGCAGGACCTTCTCCGAGTGTTCCTACCCTGAGACCGAGGAGGAAGGAGAGGCACTCCCCGTTCGGGACTCCTTCTACCGGCTGGAGAAACGGCCAGGCCGGAGTGAGCCCAGTGCCTTCCTCAGGGGGCCTAGCAGCAGGAAGGAGAGCTCAGCAGTGCTGAGTCGGATCCAGAAAATTGAACAGGCCCTGAAGGAGCAGCCAGGCCGGGGACTCCCCCAGCTCCCTAGCAGCTGCTACAGTGTAGACCGAGGGAGAAGAAAGACTGGGATCTTGGGCACCTTGGAGGAACCGACAGGGAGCTCCAGTGTGAGCGCTGGCAGCCTGGCAGGAGGAGTGGCCGGAGTTGGGGGGGAGGCGGGCCCACCCCCAGAGAGGGAAGGCAGTGGCTCCACTAAGCCAGGGACCCCTGGAAATAGTCCGAACTCCCAGCTGCTGCCATCAAAGAGCTCCCTTGATCCCGCTGTGAACCCTGTCCCCAAACCCAAGCGCACCTTTGAATATGAGGCTGACAAGAACCCCAAGAGTAAGCCAAGCAATGGTCTACCTCCTTCACCCACACCTGCTGCTCCACCGCCCCTGCCCTCCACCCCAGCCCCACCAGTCACCCGGAGACCCAAGAAGGACATGCGTGGTCACCGCAAGTCCCAGAGCAGGTAATGAATGCCTCTTCAGGGCCTTACAGCTGGACACAGCAGCTTTGTTTTCGATGGAATATGCTAAAGCAGACTGGAGTTGTGGGTCAGTCAGTAGTGCCTTATAAGTTCTGGAGCACCAAATGATTGTTAGGTGAAACATGAGTCAGGTCAAAAAGAGATTGATGTTTCTTCTGCTCTTGCAGGATACGGATACTTAAACATGAGTGGGAGGGGGAAAACCTTTTTTCCGAGTGCTGTGTGCTGAAGATGTTGGCTGGATTTGGCCTTTGGAGTGGAGTCCTGTCGAGCTTCCTCTGTGGGAAGGATAGGGGCACCTTATTTGTAGATAGAATAGGCAGTCCCTTGAGGACAGGACTAGTAAGATCTTAGCCTCATGACTACCTGAAGTGCCAACATTAGAAATTTATTCCGTAGAGTGAAGCATTATCTGAATACTGCCTGTTGTCATTGACTCAGTAGTGTTGATACACTGAACATGATTTCCTCTTTCCTGAGGGCTGCCTGACCATATAGGATCCTCGGCCTATAGGAAGAAGGGATCTTTGGATCCTGAAAAGGGATACTGATTGGAAAAAGGAGAGGAAGAACATATCACCTACTTCTTGGCCATGTCCAGGAAGGATCTGTTCTGAGACTCACATCGGTTTCCTGGTCAGTCTCAGACCCTGGACTACCCAGGGTATCTCCACAATTAGAGTGAGTTGGCAGCTGGAGCAGCTGGAGCTGGTGCAAGTTGACAGGCATCTTGTTCTCTGAGTTGGAGCAGGCTAGGAGCCTGCTGTCTTTGCAGGCCTGTCCTCCTTCCCTCACTGCCTTTCACTTCTAACCCAGAGGCAGGTGGGCATTCAGGTTTGTTTGACTTCTGGGGATTCTTCAATCTGACCCCATACTTCAGGCTTTTATCCAGCATATCCCATCTCATATAGAAACTTTCCTGCCATGTGCAGAGAGGAAGACATCACAGAGGTTCAGACTCATGAGCCAGAAGAGCCCTTGGCTAAAGGTAATCCCATGTTTTGGCTTACCTCAGCATGCTCACTGACTCTTTAAGTCTATAGCAGCCTGCCAGGAGTGTTTGCTTTGTCCTTATTCGTCCATTTCTACGAATAACCTGTATAGAGCCTGCTGTGTACCAAGCCTGGTGAAGGGGACGGAGCAAATGAGACATGGCTCTTCCATTCAAGGAGTTGGTGATCTGGTGCAGGAGATTGATGCACAAATAAATCATAGCTGCTGTGTCATGTGCCCTGATCCCTGTCTAGGTGGGATGCTGCAGAGATCCAGAAAGAGACGTCTAACTGGGGGGGTGAGGGAGGCCTCCTTGCAGAGGGAGTTGCTGAGCTAAATTTAGAAGAGCAAAAAGCACTTAGCCAGGTGGAAAAAGGGGGTGGGAGGAGAGTACACCAGCCTGAAGGTTTTACACATACTCACACTTAC